CCCTTATGATCTCTATTTCAACGTTAATGCCGGTCAGTTGTTGTGTCTAGGCCACAAAAGGGAGGAAGACATAACAAGGTACAGCTGACCTCCATCGCATCATGGCCAGGAACTCAGTTTTAAGGTTTTCCTGGAGTTCTCTTAGCCACAAGGGTGTCTGCTCAGCCAGTAAAGGGACTTAGGATTTTATTTTTAGCTTACAGGGAGGAGCAGGCTCAGGAGCTGAAAATCAAGAGTTCTGTTTAAGGCATATTAAATTTGAGGGCACGGTGGCTCACGCCTGTAATCCCAGCACTTTGGGAGGCAGAGGCGGGTGGATCACCCGAGGTCAGGAGTTCGATACCAGCCTGGCCAACATGGTGAAAACCTGTCACTAATAAAAATACAAAAATTAGCCGGGCATGGTGGCAGGCGCCTGTAATCTCAGCTACTGGGGAGGCAGAGGTGGGAGAATCGCTTGAATCTGGGAAGTAGAGGTTGCAGCGAGCCAAGATCGCACCATTGCACTCCAGCCTGGGCAACACAGCAAGACTCCATCTCAAAAAAAAAAAAAATTGAGATGTTTATCAGTCCTCCAGTGGAGATATCAAGTAAGCCACTAACTACACAAGACTGGGGAAAGCAGCTTATAGATGACTGGGAAATTATATCACTCACAGAGAATGTTTATGGAAAAGAAACCTGTGAGATCTGAGAAAAGGGAGGAGGGTCCAGAAAGGAGGCTGGGAAAAGACAGGCCGCTGAGGTCGATGGAAAACAAAAAGCACAGGAAATCTCAGATACCAAAGGAGGGCTTCAGAAGGAGGGAGTGGTTAACAGTGTGACATACTGTTGAGAAGCCCAACAAAATGAGGACTGAGGCTGCCCTGGCGCGGTGGCTCGCCTATAATCCCAGTACTTTGGGAGGCCAAGGCGGGCGGATCACCTGAGATCGGAGTTCGAGACCAGCCTGACCAACATGGAGAAACCCCCTTCTCTACTAAAAATACAAAATTAGCCGGGCCTGGGGGCACATGCCTGTAATCCCAGCTACTCGGGAGGCTGAAGCAGGAGAATCGCTTGAACCTGGGAAGCGGGGGTTGCGGAAAGCCGAGATCGCACCACTGCACTCCCCAGCATGGGCAACAAGAGCGAAACTCCGTCTCAAAAAAAACACGAGGACTGAGGATTGAATACTAGAGTTAGCAACAAGAAGTCGCTGGGAACCTGACAAGGGGCAGTTCTGGCATCGAAATTCTGACTTGAGTGGTTTCAAGAGACTCAGAAAACAGTATGAAGCCACGGGTCTCTAACTTGTTCTGAAATCACGGCGGCAGCAGGAGGGGAACGCGGGGCACGGGGCATAGGCGGATTTTTTTGTTTTATTTTATTTATTATTTTTGAGACAGAGTCTGGCTCTGTCGCCCAGGCTGGAGTGCAGTGACACGATCTCGGCTCACGGCAATCTCCGCCTCCCGGGTTCAAGCGATTCTCCTGCCTCAGCCTCCCGAGTAGCTAGGATTACAGGCGCCCGCCACCACGCCCCGCTAATTTTTGTGCTTCGGGTAGAGACGGGATTTCACCATGTTGGCCAGGCTGGTCTTGAACTCCTGACCTCAGGTGATCCGCCCGCCTCAGCCTCCCAAAGTGCTGGGATTACAGGTGAGCTACCGCGCCCGGCTTGGTTTGCTTTAAATAGGAAGGCTCTGCA